ACTCCCAATGCCTGAAGAAGGGTGCTTGTGCCTGAAAGCTTGCAAATAACTTATTTCCAACTACCCAATTGGTCTTAAAAAAAAAAAAAAAAAAAGATATCACATCTACCCAAAGAAGCTTGCTTGCCTTTGTCTTTAGACCAGGGGTTGTCTAAAGTAGGTACTTGGGAAGGGGGTACGCGTGGGTGGATGAGGACAGTACCACCACCCAGCTCTGCTGCCTCCCAGGAGCAGGGCCAGGGTGCGAGGGCAGCATTGCCCCTCTGCGGGCCACGCAGGTGCCAGCTGGCTGGCCAGACACTTGCGGGGTGGGGGCTGGAGCTTGCACACGACAGCTACCGCCACCACCCATACTGCTGCCACTCTGCCATGCACCACACCCCCTCCCCACATCCAGCCGCCAGGGGTACACTTATTAAAAAAAAAGGTTGAAAACCCCTGCCTTAAAGTCAACACAGCTACAACCAAAAACCCTGCTACTTGGAATGTAGTTTCTTGCAGAAAACATTTAAAATAGAAATTTCAAAGAGGAAGAGCCAATGTAGGAGTGGGATACAGAAAACATATTCCAACTACTGGAAATGCATAAAAGACATTTGTACCAGCACCATAGAGACTGTGAGCTGGGAAAAGTTAATGGACAGATTTAAAAACAAAAGGAAGTAGTTGAAAATGAATACTGAAAAGGGGAGACCAGTGATCTTATTGGATGATGCATGCCAGAAATGTATTACTTTCCACCAGAAGTAGCATCGTGTACATGGTGGAACAAGTCAGGGAAAGTTGCAATTTCAGGAGGCCATCAAGACAATTGCAATAGGCAAAGCAAACAGGAATGATTACTGCTGCAGAGCCAAGTTCCTTACATACTTAGTCATGATGTGGAAGTGGCTATGTGATAGATTTAAAATGCAGGAAGTTATAAGAAAAGTGAAAGAGGGAGGAGGTAAAGGTCAGTAGGAATTCAGTCAAGAACTCAATACAAATGGAAAGTAGTAGCTGAAAGGAAAAAGCAGGATGTTGTTTCACTTTCCAAATATTTGTCATTTAATTGAAAGAAGCCAGGCTGACCTGTTAAACACTGTGGAAAGTCAAAAAGCTCTTGCTGCCAAGTACTGGCAGCTTAAATGGGCTAAAGATACCAATAAGGGGAGCAGAAAGGATAAGATAGAAAAGCTCATCCTGTGGCTGGAGACCAGCTTCATTGAGAGCCATACAGACTATGGCAAGGCTATGGTGGAGGCAGCCTAGCTAAGTAATGCAGTCCAGTGTTAGAAGGGACAGTACTGAGAAATCAGGGATAAGGGAAAAGCATAGTTATCAGGCTGAAAAATGCTAAGGAAAGCAACTTACATGTTTATAGGAGATGAGGCCCTGATTCATCATACGTTGTTTAAGTGGTAAAAGGAAAGGTACTTTTCTAAGTACTTTTAAGAAAATTTAGGTTAAAATGATGTGTTACAAAGTTACCTGCCAGGTACTCCCAAAGCTTTTCTCCCCAGCTATCCCATGAACAGACTGTTTGCTCTGAAATAACTCCTCACTGCAAGCCTCAGCTCCACTGCTCATATACCAAACCTCAGCTGCAGCAGGGGAACCTCTGCCAGATCCAGGTGGTTTTCCCTTGGGTTATGAAAGAAATGTTAGGTCCCCCTTTTATAGGATAGGCTAGCCTGGATATTCACTCTCCCTTTACCTTCTCAACTGGCTACCACCTACCTGTCCCCAGTCCTGCCAGTGCTTTTT